CTGGCTCGTTGCCGAGCGGTTGGTAATAGCGAAATGATGAAGCGTATATGGTACTGATATCGTTGTCTAGACGTCGTACCTCTCGTGTCGCTTCTTGCTCTTGGATAGATCCTCGTAAACGTACTGGGAGTGATGGCGCAGGGTGGTAGGTGGTCACGAAGATCGTGCCGAAGAGTATGAGGCTAAGAAGAGCAAGAGCTGACCACACGAGAGTGCGGCCAGCTCCGCTACCAAATCGAAAGTGAGCCTGGTAACTCAAATAGCATCCGATTCCGTAGACATCGGATGGCAAATAGCGTCCGGTATCGTACTGACGTGGTTCAGTAAGAGGAATGGACGGATAAGATAGGATAAGATCGATGTATCGGTCCTTCCAGCACATAGCGAACACTCGCGGTGTCCGGGCAAATAGGGCGCCCGTGCCTTGAGCCAAAGGCAACGGCGCGCGAGCTATGCTCCCGATACTATAACATCTCCCAAAGAGCTACCCTTAAAGTTCATCATCAGTGTCATCATCATTGTCAGCATCATTATTGTCATCATCATTGACATCATCATCATTGTCATCGGCATCACTGTCATCATCATTGTCATCAGCATTGCCCTCATCATCATCATCAACATCATCATTGGCATCATCATTGTCATCATCATCACTGTCATCGTCAATGCCATCATCATCATCATCATCATCATCATCATCATCATCATCATCATCATCATCATCATCATCATCATCATCATCATCATTCTCATCATTATCATCAACATTGTCATCGTCATTGTTGTCATTTTCCGCAATCCATTTGGGCCCAGGACTTTGCTAGGCGTGAGGGTGCACAAACGCCCAGAATGGATCCCAAGACCAGCAGCAAACAATAGCTCTAACACGTAGTTGCGAACAAGCTGTCGGTGCCTCGCTGCCCTCTCTCTTGTTCGGGGTCGGACACAATGAATCTCAGCCAGCAAATGGCTCTACGAGATCCGCCTTCGCGGAGGTTCTCGCAAGTCATGCCGATAGCGGAGCAGCGCCACGTGGCGCCGCAGAGATGGGCCGCAGCAAGAACGACCCCTGCAAGAAAGGCGAAGAGCAAGAACGATTCCGCAAACAACATGGGGACGGTACAACACCAGCGTGGACCGATGCAATCGCCAACCTCGTGAGCACCATGCAGGACCAACAAAGACAGATGATGACGCAGCAAGCGGAGCAGCAGCAACAACACATGATGTCGATGATGGCTACAGTCGCCGACATGCAGCAGCAAGCAATGATGCACCAGCCGCCAGGCGCATCGCCTGCATCGCCTGAGCCCCAGGTGCAGCCTATGCAGGCCGCTCAAGCTACGGCGCCTACAGGAAGGCTACAGAAGATCCCAGAAAAGATCACCAAGAGCTCGAGAAGAAAACTGACAAGTTCGAGAAACTGGTTATGAAAATGACGAGGACTCGATTTGCTGTTGAAAAGGCTCGACGCGACCTTGAGGTGTTCAAGAACAAGGATAACAATACATACACAGCGGGCATGAGGGCTTTCAGAACGGCGGCCGCGCAGTCGGAGCTAGATGAGCCACTTTCTGCCTGCACAGGGGGTGACCAGACGATCACGATCGTTTTTGAGCAAGGCGGCGCACGGCGCGAAGCGATGAAGGTGATGCACCACGAATGCAGCAATTTCTTCAAGATGTGGATGTCCGAGGGTCTCGAAGAGATGTTGGGGGAGCTCAGGAGGCAAAGAGGCGGAAGGAGCTAGACAAGAGAGCAGCCAAAGCCAAACCCGAGCAGCTGTTTGACAAACTGGTGGCTATGGAAATGAAGGTCCAGTTGCAGGAGCTGGGTGCCATCCCCGTCCAAGCCGAGGACGTGGACTTCGATGAGTCCACCCCGCAGCCACAGCCGCCCAGGTTTTCCGAGACGGTCGATGCGGTCGCCAAGGATCGTGCCAAAGCAAGGAACGACAAATCCCCAGGGGCAGCCCTGGGGACCAGCGCCAAGCCCACCAAAGCTGCGCCGAAGCCTCCAGTCAATGGCACCAGGGACTCAAAAGGGAACAAGACTGGCCAAGACAAAGGCAAGGGCAAAGACACAGGCAAGAGCAAAGGCAGGAGCAAAGGCAAAACCTGAACTGGCACTTGGGAACCCAAGGGCAAAGGGGGCACGGAGGGTGGACATCGCGGCGGCAAAGGAGGAAGGAAAGGTTTCCAACCACCTGCGTAGCAGAACACCGACGCCGAGCACAGCGGCGCCGAGGTACAGATGAAGCACGATGGTTGGTTTCACACATGCAAGGGGCTACCGTGGTGGATTGGTTATCCTTACTCAGGTATGACCATACATCATTATGCATACGCCAAGATGTACATAATTATCCTATCATGGTCGAGCCAGCTATCCCGTGGTTCGTCAAGTGGTTCATCACGCACTTTCACCCCAAGCACGTTTTCTGGGAAAAGGCCTTGCCCAATCTCGGGCGCATCACCGATGACCTCGACAATTTTTGAAATGCACTCAAGTACCGAAGATCTTTGGGGCAGGGGCCTGATAGGCTCATCAGCTACCGTCCCAAGGTTGGAGGACGCCCGCATGCACGAACATCGTCGATCCTGGCATCAACTTCTGGCTGAAATCTTTCAAAACCAGGATGCTGGGAACATGCGACAGCAGCTCAGGCGAGTCCGAAGAAAAACAGATCTGGCAACATGTTCCCATTGAATCTACGAGCCGCTCGTTGGCTCAAGTCGTCCATCTACACGGTGCATAAAAACAACAAGGAGGCCGGATACACTTTGACGACGATCGAGGATGATAGAGCCATCGACACCTGTATTCTCGACAAGCCTGCAAACGAGAAGGTGTCAGAGCACAACATCAATTTTGACACCGTCGCGAAATCATACCGTGGGCTAGCACATGACATTGAACAATCGGGAGATGCCCCAATCGCAAAGGACATACTCAAATCTTTATCCTTTGCTGGACACAGTATCCGAACAAGATTAATCAAGACTTGCAAAACACACAAGCCTCAGGGAGCTATCGTCTTTCGAAACATTCATGCTGGGCTTGCCAAGTGGTTATCAGGCAATTTGCAACGTCGTCTTCTAGATTTTCCACACATCGTGAAAGTCACGAATGCAGCAATAGACAGGCTGACAACTGTGAGCGTGGAAAGTTCCGGACTTGATTTGTATAATGGACGTTCGGGAATTCTACATGTCCGGCTCCCTCGACTAACAAATATCTGATGTTCTTGTTTGTTTCACGGATCCCATTATGAGGAGTTTGATCGAGAGGAGTGGTTACAGTCTTCTTGGGAACCAGCATGCGCATTCGCCTCACTATCCTTACAAACTCTGGAAGGTAATCTGGGGCTCGGGGATGGGCCTCCCTCGCAGCGGGGAGGTAGCCGACCTCGCACTTCTGACCAGGATGGAAAGATGGACGCTGACCACACAAAGCGTGCACGACATCAACGCATACCTCAAATTCCGCGACGACATCATTATCATTGGCAAGCATGCTCATTCTCTTGGACTCTCCGTGAGTGGCCTCAGATGCCGTTCTGACTATTTCGTGCTCGAAGTAGATGAATTCGGCAGGGAGGGTGTCGGATGACTCGAAATATGCATCAGCATCCGACCCCGTCGTTTGAAAGTACGGCCAACATTCAAAGATACGACCCTCTCAGTCCCACTTCTGTGGTCGAGTGAACACCCCACGCACGTCCATCTGTCATGGCCGAGGGCTCGACTACAGTATCTGAAGCAATTGTTGTGTTCGTCACCATCTGTTTTTTCCAGCCGCAAAAAAACGAAACCTTAAGTAGACTCTCGATGTCATACACTCGAGACCAATTCGAGCGGGTCACTGCAGAGCCCATGTGCGCCGGGGCAGCGCGACGAACCTCGCAGGGACGAAGCATACGGGTCACCTGGTGCAAGCTTCATTTCAATCCTGCGCTGGAGCACGCAATGCCGAAAGCTATTGCGTCCTTCCTCCAGGACGAACTGTTCCGATCGATCTGGATGCGCTCGCTAGGGTGGATGCCGCAAATCAGGGTCTCGTACTACAGATGTTTACCGACATTGGCGCACATGCTCGCCAATGCATGCGGAATTAAGCTGGGGTAGGTGGGTGGAACATCATTGCAGTCATCTTCCGCAGGCCATTTGGGCCCAGGAGTTTGTTAGGCGTGAGGGTGCACAAGCGCCCAGAGCTGGATGTCAACACCAGCAGCAAACAGCAGCTCTCTCACACGTAGTTGCGAAAAAGCTTTAGGTGCCTCGCTGCCCTCTCTCTTGTTTGGGGGGGAGTTGATCCAGGAGGGAACAACGAAGCGGGGGCCGCTCAGTTGTCGGGTCGGAGTGGACGACGGCGTCTGAGGATCGCACGGCATCGACGATGCCTCGACGGCGTCGGCACGGATCGGCTTGGGCTCAGGACAGCGCCGCGACGCCGCGCGATGCCGACGCGTCGGCCATAGACAGTGCGATCATCCGACCCCAACGGTGATTGGACGCTGTTGTTTCTGCTCAGGCCCCCGTGGTAATTGGACGCAGTTTTTTCTGCTTGGGCTTCTGGAGGTCTCCGATGACCTCTGGGGTTCCCTTTCTGCTGACCTCTGGGGGATCAAACCTCCGCCGTCCTGATGGTTTTGATGCTCGCGGATTTTCGTGATAAGAGGCTTCCAGCGACGGATGGCTGCGAGAGCAGGATAATCACACTCCCTCCCTACACTACGTTTTCGAATATCGACCACTTGTTACCCATCGGCCTTGGGCCGTCCTCGGTCGTTTTTGACGTTCTTCAGCGGTCGCGGTCTTCGGCGAGACAAGTGCAGGGCTGCGTTCAACAAGTGGTCCATGATCGAACAGCTATACAAACTCCAATTCCTCCCCTCTCCACTCCATCCCCTCTCTCCCTCGCCCTTCCTCCCTTCCGCCTCCCCCTCCTTACTCCTGCCTACTGCATTTACTCATTCTGCCGCTCCCCACCCTGCTCCGACCGCCAATGCCCTGTCTTCTCGTGTGCCCCTGATCTTGCGCTTCCGCAACCGACGGCTGGCGCGCACATGCAGCTGGCAGGTGCCTCTGCGATGTTCTCGACGTCCCGGGAAGGGGTGGCGGGGAGACGGGGCCGAACGGATGCCGCCTCTTCGTCGGCGAGGGCTCCGTTGATGTATCTCGGGGGGGGGGGGGGGCGTTCGAAACGCCACTTCGGAGCCTCTCGGTAGCTTCTTGGATGCCTGCGGGCGCATCAGTGGTCTCGTACCGGCGGCGCGCCGAGGGGCATGTGAGAGGGCGCGGGCCTTCTCAATGGCGGCGGGGCTTCCCAGAGCTGAGAGAGCTTCTCAGAACGGCCGGCGGCCCTCCGAGCCTTCTGGGACGGCCCGCCGCCGCTCGGCTGTCCCCCCAGGGCGCGCCGCCGACCTCAGGATGTCCTGCAAGTGCTTCAGGGGCAGGGGTCACCCGAAGCTCCCGGACGAACGGCTGGACTCGCCAGGACGAGCGAAAAAGGCGTTGCCCGACGCACCTCCTCCCACGGAACGGGGGGGCGAAGAGGGATGCGAGGAGGAGGAGGACGAGGAGGAGGAAGAGGAGAAGGGCGCAGATGGACGGGGGAAAGGGGGGATCGCGCTTCGGAAACCAGGCCGCGAGGGCGTGGATATGGATGCTTTCGCCACTTTCGAAAGGACACGAAGGCGCCCGACGGAACCCAGGACAGCCCAAGCGGGCCACGTGATAGCGCAAGAGGGCACCGAGAAGCTCCCAAGACAACCTTGGGAGACCCCCCAAAAGGACGACGAGGGGTCCACGTCTGCAGTCGGACAGCCCAAAACGGTCCCAAGATTGGGGGAGGGGGAGGCGGAAACGGAGAAAAAGGGCAAGGAGGGATGGAGGGGCCAATCAGGTCCCAAAACCCCACATGGCCGACAGGGGCGCAAGACGGCCGACAGACGGCCCAAGCTGGCCCTAAGAGGGGTGGCAAAAGGGAGGAGGGGATGGGACAAGCTAGGTGCGTTCGCGCCACATCTGGCATGCCCCCCACACCCATTCCTTCCCCTTGCGGTTAGTTTCAATGATACGTGCCGACGCGCGTTGTAGCGGACCTGGTACTCCAAAAAAGACCCAATCGTGTTGCGCGCAATCAGGAGAAAAAAGGGGGCTGTGTGCATTGACGGTGGAGGTGGCGGATGAGCAGGAAGAAAAAGGAGACGATGAGGACAGAGGAAGACGAAGACGCATAGCTGCATCAGGAGCTGGAATGGAAACAATGGGAGATGCCGGAGGACAATGGGAAGGAGAAAGATTGAAGACGAGGGGGGCGACACCGATGAAAAAGTAGCGACACCGATGAAAAAGGAACTGAAATCAGGAACGTGGCCCGCGTTTGAAGAGAAAACGCAATTCTGGACGACGAAAGCAAAAACGCGGATCCGAAAATGAGGCCCGCGCTGCAACGGGGACGCCATTCGGAAACACTGAGAACGATCAGGTGGTTTACGAAAAACCCAGAATCATGCTATCAGGGAGCCCCACGTACTGTCTCACGTTTTTATGTAAAGCTGGCGGCGGTACGCGTTAAATGCGGGCACAGTTTGGTTGACCCAGAAGGGAATCCAGCTGAAAGGGACTGGTGCAATAGATGTGAGGCACCAATTTTGCATATGTACTGCGCCAAAAAAATCGATTGTATTGTATTGCAACGAATGCAGTACACGCGAAAATCCAGCAATACATCTGCGCACCGGAATGAATTCTACGGCCCAAATAAATTGCAACCCCACAAATGTAGTGCACCGAATCTGCTGCACAACCCCCTTTCAACTGAACCCCCTTTTGGGTCAACCAGGTACAGGCGCCCCGTTTGCGCATCTGCGCGAGCTGTCCACATGGACCCCGTCCGCAACCCATCTGAATCATTGCGCTCTGCATCGCCACACAGGGGGGTGGCAGCGCGTCTATGGCAATATTGATTGGCATGGCTGCCACGCGCAAAAGAACTGTTTGCTGCTTTCGAGTGGGACTACAAGCACCCCTGCGTGAAAGCGCATGCGTGCCGAGCATGCTTGGTGTTCGCTGTTCTGGATAAGTCGCGAACTCTCGCCCTCGCAGCCTCGAAGCCCCAAGGAGGTGCCACGCCTGCGACGGCCTGGGAGCATGAACCGGGTACCCGGAAAACGGTCGAAAGCTCCAAGGACTGCGATTCTGAAGAAGGCACAACCTCGGAAGTCCGGGAGGAGAGCTCAGGGTGAACGCGGCTGCGACGTGGGTGGCAAGAGTCACGCCTCTGGTTCCTCTTCGCCTATGCATCCCCTCTGCTCTCCTCTGCCACGCTCTGCGAGCCCGAAGCGGATAGAGCCCCAAACCCCAGCACACCACCTGTGGTGTCGAAGAGATACCACGCCTATAACTCTTTGTGAGACCGAGACGGATGGTGCCCCCACCCCCAATACACCCCTTGTGGTGTCAATGAAATGCCGCGCTTGCTAAGCTTTGTTAGCCCGAAACGGAAAGCGCCCCCACCCACTGCGCACCCCCTGTAGTTTCGAAAAAGTGCAACGCCTGCCACGCTTGGCGAGCCCGGAACGAATAGCGCTCCCCCCCCCCCAGCGCCCACCCCAGTGGTTTCGAAAAAGTGCCACGCCTGCTACGCTTTGCGAGCCCGATACGGATAGCGCTCCCTCCCCTAGCGCACCCCAGTGTGGCGTCGAGAACTTGCCACGGCTGCCTCGCTTTGCGAGCCCGGAGCGGATCCAGAAACCGCCACGCCTGCCACGTATTGCGACCCGCCAAATGTATACTAGCGTTGTCTCGTTCACGTGTCCTCCCTCTCCGTGTGATGTGTACATGGTATGGATGCGTTGCGTGTGTGTGCGCGTGTCTTTGAGGGCGTGTGTTTGTGTGTATGTGTGTGTGCGTGTGTCAGTGTCCATGTCAGTGTCTCTGAGCGTAATTACGCCGCTGCATGATTGTGTGTAACTGATGCGCGCGCGAGTGCATGTGAGAAGGAGAGGGAGAAAAATGCGAGAAAGAGGCGGTATCGGTATGAGGAGACGCGAGTGGGACGCTGGTGGGAAGAACTCCAGAGACCCACTACACACGTGGGACATCAACATAAACGTTCGAAATCTGGTGTGAAAAACAATACGCGGAAAGGACCGAACATGTTCCCGACAGAGTCAGGGGGAGAGATGAGTGTAGTACTCGTAAGGTGCAAATTGTTGAATGAGGAGGTGGGACGGGGGGGAAAGGCGAAGAATGGCAGGATCTTCCGTTGTGGTTCCAGCCGTGCCCCGACAGGGCTGACAACCTGTTTCCAACAACCCCCCTCTCTCGGCTGCACTTTCCTTCGCGCATCGTCCTTGCGGGCCCTGGGGCCCGAAGATGGACCCCGAAACGGCGAGACTGCGAAAGAGCATCCGCCGCGATTCGCTCGCGAAGCCGGGAGCTCGAGGAAGAACCCGCGCGCGCGGGAGCGCGCGGCTCCCTGAGCGCTCTGGGAACTCCTGGGCTCTGAGGCTCTCTTGGACCGCCCCTGGGCCTCAGGTGGTACACTCCCTGGGGGGGATCTCCCTTTTTCGCAGCGTCGACCCTGAGAGTTCTGGATGTTCGCCACGTCGGCCCTCAGAGTTCTGGGTCCCCTCCCTGATCAAGTCTTTCATCCAGAATTGCTTTTAGACGGTCCCAAAGCAAAACGATAATCCACACATGATAACAAAGACCCACCCGTCATGATGCTTTCACGGCACGATGTGGCAGACGGAGACAAGCAAACGTTTTTGCCTTGAGCCACAGGGCACGGTTCACAAACTCTGTTGGCAACATGCGCTGAACCTATCATCGGAAAATCTGGAGCTCTGCAACACTGGTCAGAATTTCTCCTAGGTTCAGCTCCCTTTTTTGGTGAAGCCGTACCCTGAAACGTACAGTATGTCGGTAGCCCTGTCCCCGGGGCCGCACGACAGCATCCTTCCCGGGACGCCTGGCAAGGTTAAAACTAAAACAGAAGACGGAGGGCAAAATCACTGGAAAGAGTGACCGAAACTGGCCGGCGGAGAGGAGGAGGAAGGAGTGGGAATACTGGAGGAACCACCACCACCACTATCACCAACGACCAGGCCAGGAGACATGAACTCGACCCAGGACATCTGCACGGACTCGAACTCTCTCCTGGATGCTTGCTGGGAACGTCCCTTCAGCTCGGGAGCGGCCTTCCGACGCTCCAGCTCGGCCCCCTCGTCAACTAGTATTAGCCTGCCGTGAGACATAAGATCAAAGAGAGCGGCGTTGCACTTGGTGATATCGTCCTTTGTCAACGGATCCACCGGCATGCGCCCATGTGGCACCCAGCGCACGCTTCCTCTCGCTCTTTCTAGTGCCTCGCATATGATGGCGAGGTCCAGCGCGGTGCGTCGATCCTTCGCACTCGCGTTGCCCTCTTTCTGCATCGTGTCATAAATAGACTTCGCATCCACCACATGCACCTGCTGTTCCCGTGAGCTCAGACTGCAGTCACGGCGCAGCACTGTGGTGAAGGGTCCCGCCGCACGTCGGCATTCAGGGACATCAACGTCGTGAAACATGACGTCTCTGTACAATACTTGCAAAAACTCGACCTCGGCGACTGCTGCTGAGAGAGCCTGGGTCTCTCCCGCTAGCGTGGAGGGTACTTTCCGACGCAACTTACAGCTCCTCCACCCCAACACCGAGGCTCGGACGGAACAGTTCTGGAGGACGGACCGATCGGTCGCAAGCACCATCCAGGCCCCTTGGGTAGGGTCTGCTGGTAGGCCACGCTCGTCGTCCAGGTGCGAGTCTGCCCCCACGCCGCCGGCGTCGGAGAACGAAACGAAAGCGAACTTCTCGGGATCCAATTTCCAGATGGTGAGGCCTCGGGAGGCCGAGGACCGAAGATGTTTCACGAGCTTGTTCGCACACATCACGTCATAGATGGTGGCGTTCTTGAGTCTACTAGCTAAGATGGACGCGATCCCCGCGGCTTCAGGTCGTGATTCTCGTCCGACCCAGTTAAACTTGTACACTAGGGACCGCAGTGCCTTGAACTCGTCGGGTCCCAGGGGAGCGCTTTTGTCGGAC